CTATTTGATTGATAGCACCCTCCGTATTATATGTGCTGTTCCTAGGAGGGCTATCTTCTGGACTTCTTGTATGTTGATGTTTCCTGGGATTTTGTCGGTGTATTTCTCCAGTCCTTTCTTCACAAGTCCCAAAGCTCCAATGACTACTGGTATTGTTGTGGTCTTTGTTCCCCACATCCTATTTATTTCAATCTCAAGGTCCTTGTACTTTGATAACTTTTCCGTAACCTTGACAGAGGTGTTGTGTTCAGATGGTATGGCCATGTCTATAAGGATGCACTCTTTCCTTGTCTTGTATTTAATGATGATGTCTGGTCTGTTCGCTTTGATCTCTCTGTCAGTTTGGATGGGCATACCCCATAGGATAGTTACCTCGTCATTCTCAGTGATGGTTTTTGGTTGGTGTTCGTACCACTTTTCTGTTGTCTTGATCTTGTACTCCTTGCAGATCTCCCAGTGCAAGTAGGATGCTGCTTTGTCATGTCGGTGGATGTACTCTGTCTTAGCCAGTTCTGGGCATCCTGATATGATATGATCGATTGTTTCTTCGTATTTACCACAAATCCTGCATTGTGGGTCAGTTCCATCTTTCATAATGCGATGGTGGTAGGATCTTGTGGCCAGACTCTGATCTTGTGCAGCGATAATCAGGCCTTCTGTTTCTGCTTTTAGTCCTATTGATTTCAGCCATTTGTTGGTTTTTACTTCATCTACATCTGCATCTTTGGTCCTTTTTGGGTACTTCCCATGCATTGGCTTTTCTTCCCATGTTTTCCGCATTTGTAGCTGGCCATGGTGTTTAGCCTTCTGTTTAACTCTGCGGGCATACTTTGTTATTGTTTCGTTCTCCATTGGTGGTGTCTCTGGGATATTCAGCTCCTGGGTGAATTTTGAGGCTTCCTTCTTGATCGAGTAGAGCTTTTTTCCTTCTTCATGGTGTTTCACTAGTTGGAGGAGAGGGTCTTTTGTTGACCTCAGGTAGGTGTCTAGGCCTATGGTGGTAGTTTTAAAGGTCAGTTCGAGTTGAATCAAGCCTCTTCCTCCTTCTGCTCTTGGTAGGTACAGCCTGTTGACATCTGCTTTCGGGTGGTGCATCCTTTCCATGGTAAGTATCTTCCTGGTCTTAGTGTCCAGTTTTTTTATGTCACTCATTTTCCAATTTATGATGTTAAAGCTGTATGTCACTACAGGTATGGCTAGGGTGTTGATAGCTTCGAATCGGTTTGCTGCATTGAGTTCGCTCTTCAGTACCATTCTCACTCTTCTGAGATACTCTTTTCGAATCTTCTCCTTCATGGCAGAGTGTTGGATGCCATCACCTTCATTCACTCCTAGGTACTTGTATGTGCCCTCTTGATCTATTTCCTTGATAGTAGTGCTGGTGTCTAGGTCAATGTTGGTGGTCTTAGTCAGCCTTCCTCTCTTGAAGGTGGCTTTGGCACATTTGTCTAGTCCAAACTCCATCTTGATATCATCACTAAAGGTCACTATTATTATTATTATTATATATTATATATTATATATTATTTTATATTATATATTATATTATTATTATTATATATTATATTATATTATATTATATTATATTATATATTATATTATTATATATTATATTATATATTATATTATTATATATTATATTATTATATATTATATTATATTATATATTATATATTATTATTATTATTATTATTATTATTATTATTATTATTATTATTATTATTATTATCATTATCATCATTATTATTATTATTAACATTATTATTATCATAACAGTGATAATGATTATTATTATTGTTATTATTATTATTGTTATTGTTATTATCATTATCCCCATCATTATTATTACAAATAACAGTATTACTGTTATTATATTATTATCATTATCATTATTATTATCATTATCATTATTATTATTATTATTATTATCATTATCATTATTATTATTATTATGATTATTATGATTATTATGATTATTATGATTATTATTATCATTATTATTATGATTGTTGTTATTATCATTATCATTATTATTATTATTACTATCAATTATCATTATTCTTATCATACTTATCATTATCATTAAACAACTGATTCATCTAACTGTCGCCTTCCCTTATTCCTTTTCCGAAACAGCAATTTTTCTGCTTTGCTCAGCTTCTCGCCCGCCAAGAGACGCTCCTAAACTTGATTTTTATTTCATCTCAATTTCTTGTATATAAAGAGAGGGGAAGATCTTTTACTTAGTCCTTTAAACAGCCTTTAAATATTGGGAATGTTGGTTTCTGAATGGGTTTCTGGTAGGTAAGCGTAAGCTTAGATTTGGTATCTGATTTTTTTTTTTTTTCTGTTATGATAAAAAATGGTGGGTGTCTGTGTACATGTGTTTTTGTTTTTATTATTACTATTATTAGCATTATTTTCTGCCCTACATGTATACTATAAATCTCTCTCTCTCTCTCTCTCTCTCTCTCTCTCTCTCTCTCTCTCTCTCTTTACA